AGAAAGGAAAGACAATGAACACAAATATTTGAATGCAAAAGAGTCCAATGTACTGAATGATTATATGATTAGATGAACACAAATAAAACCCTTGACAAATGGACCAAAGTTCCCCGGGCCAGGCACATGGCTTAAAAGTCACTATTAAAATATTACAGACAACATGTTCTTGAATTGAAAGAAAAGCAATAACAAGTAGATTACTCCTCAATGAAGGAGATGGGCACAAAGTCCTTTTTATGCCAATTTTTCAACTCCGTTGTAGTTGGATACACCCACTCTTCAAATGCAGCTCCTTCTTCAGAATCACCCAGGCGATGACTTCACGGCTTCCAATGCGGAGAGGTGGCTTTCCAGCATGAGCACGCCTCACTTCTTTTTAAGCTTTAACGGTGAAGTCCAAACCAAACTTGTCCGCTTTAAATGGAATATCGAGGAGTTGCCCTCAAGTATCACAGTTTCCTTCTTCAATTGTCGTGCGCGCATCCTTGGCTGAAACCATCTTTGGCGTGGCCTTAACAGCTTTAGACTCATCAGAAGAACATTTGGTAGCAGCAATCATCGGTGGTACAACCTCAAAGGCTTGACACGGGGTCTCAATGAATTCTTCATCCATCTCTACGTACTTGAAAGAGTTAAGGTGGCTCACCATGAAATCTTCTTCTCCACAGACGGTGACTATTCTACCCTTGACTGGATATTTGAGTTTCTAGTGGAGGATTGAGGTTACTGCCCCAGCTTTATGGATCCACGGGCGACCTAACAGACAAGAATAGGCAGGACAAATATCCATAATATTGAAGGTGGAGTTGAAGATTTGGGAGCCCACTTTGATTGGAAGATCTACCTCCCCATGAACAGTCCTCTTTGATCCTTCAAATGCCCTTACAATGATATAGCTTGGCTTCAAGACTAAACCTTCACAGTCTAGACGGTCTAATTCTCTCTTGGGTAATACATTCAGAGAAGAACCAGTGTCGACTAGCATGTGTGCTAAGGTAATCCCTTTGCACTCAATAGAAACATGTAAAGCTTTATTGTGATCCTTCCCGAGAGGTGTTAAGTCAACATCTGAAAATCCCAAGCCATTATCAGTTGTCAGGCTAGCCACACAATTTTCAAATTGATCTATTGTTGTCTCATTTGGGAAATGAGCCTTTTTCAGGAACTTGATTAATGTTCGAGCATGGGCATCAGAAAAAAGCAGCAATGACAACATTGAAATCTTAGAAGGGGTTTGCCCCAACTGTTATACAATCTTGAAGTCACTTCTTTTTATGATCTTCAAGATCTCGTCCATCTCACGGGCAGAGGGTTCTTCATCAGCTACGTCCTTGGAGGGTACTTCAATCACATCAGGCTTAACAACCTTCTCCATCCCTCTTGTATTAGTACTTGGCTTGGCAGCAGTAATACAGATGGGCGTCCTTATAACAACTGGTGGTGAGATATTGGGTGAAAATATTCTCCCAGTTCTAGTTACTTTGCTTAAGCCAGCTATGTTTCCAACATTGTTATCTTTTTCTTCTTCGATCCATGCATCTTGTTTAATCCCATGATAGAACACCTCAGCACCGTAATTCCATGGTACCACTTTGTTTGAAGAGTAAGGAATTGGTCCGGGATTGGTGATTATTAAGGGAGCAATAGTGGGTTCATTTGAAATCCTAATAAGACCTTTGGAGGTGATCCTAAGAGGCTTGTTTGAGATGGTAATTGTGATACGGTGGCAGAACCGACTGTTTAATATTGGTTTGCGTTTTGCGTTTGTGTTTGCAAAATGTCGCGGTAAGCAAGAGTCGCCACCGACTTTTATTTTATCCAACTGGAAAGGAAAAAATCATAGAAAATTCATTTTTTCGAGATATTCTGAGTACGGGGGGCAGATTATAGAAAGGGAAGGTATTAGCACCCTTTCTATCCGTGGTTTTCCACGGGCTCTTAGGTACTTGCTCATCATTTTCAAAATTTCTTGTGTGTGTTTGATTTGAAAAAAAAGTTTCTTTGTTTTTCTTCGATTTAACCCTTGCTTCTGTCTTCAAGAGTGTTACGAAGTTGTTTTTGAAAACTTTGTTTGAAAAGAGTGTAAGTATCGAAAAGTTTGTTTGTGTTGAGCAATTACCTACTAGTATCTACCTACTCGAAAAAAGAATTGTTCCATGTTCGTTTCCGTTAGACAGTGCTATCCTACTATTAATGAGTAGGTAGCACCGTCGTTGGAGTTGTAAAGGGTCAATTCGAAAGGGACGTACGATCACTGAAGCAATGTTAGGACGTCTTAGTAATAACCCTAATGTCTTAAGATCAATATTCAAGGCAACATATCCGAGGCAACCTTTCCGAGGCAACTTTGATCTTTGAGACAAAAGAGCGACCACTAAAATACCCTATACTTAATGATCGTTTACCGAAGGTGTGATATGGTGGGAGAACTGACTTGGTGTTTTGTGTTTCGATCGCATTTGTGCAGATAGCAAGAGTCGCCACCAACTTTTCTTTTATCCAAAAGGAAAGGTAAAAAAGCACAAGAAAGACCTTTCGAGATTATTTCTCGGGTTCGGGGGGTAGATTATGAAAAGGGAAGGTATTAGCACCCTTTTCATCCATGGTTTTCCATGGGCTCTTAGTTACTCGTTTAGAGTACTTGCTTTTATTTGACAGTGTGCTTGTGGTGTAGGCTTTGAAAGTGTTTTGAAAAAGATTTTTTGTAATAGTTCTTGTCTCTATAAGAACGTATACAAAATATTTTGTCTTTTTGAAAATGTTTTGAGATGAAAGTATAGGTGTAAAAATGTATTTATCGTGAGCAAGCGAGTAACTAGGAGCGAATCTATCTGCTCGAAAGGTTTTCAATTGTTCTTTTCTTCCTCCTTATAATGTTGTTATCTTACCATTAATTTGGTAAGAAGTCCCATCATTAGATGTGAAGGGACAGGCGCGGGTCAATCGTACAGTCATAGAAGGCAACTTGTAAGACGCTTTAGCAATTTTCATAAGGGACTAGATCGTTTACCAAAGGCAACATCGAGGGACATCGAGGGACTATAATCTTTTTTTTTATCGAGGGTCTTTGCTAAATCATTCCACATTCGAGGGACATGACTGTATTTTTCCGAAGGCAACAAGCGAGGTTACCCTAGAGGTGCGCGTGTGAAAAGTGTGTTTGATTCAAGTTAATTTTGTCTTTGATTAGGATTGTCTAGCGATTGGTTTTAATCTTTCCATACACGCCCAATTACTATACAATATAAAGAAAATAGTAAATTGCGGAAATTAAAATTCTACGCTATTACAGAGCTTCCGGGAATGGGGAATACAAATTTACAAATGGGGATGGATCGAATCGTAATGCGATAAAAAGTCTAAATAAACAAGCAATACAACCCAATCGAATTAGAATTGAACAGATAATTAAACTAAAACAAACTATTAAAATTAATTTACAAAATAATATTTTTGGTATTTTGTTTGTGAGAGAATAAAGAATCTATTCTATTACTTTTATTTGGATTTTATCATGTAGAAACTAAATAATCTAAAAGAAAGTTTACTAAACTATAAAAAATGTTAACAAAATTATTCACAAAATCCTAAATTAATTAACTAATTTTGAAATTATATATTTTATGTAAGTGAGTTTTAAAACTAAAAATTAATTAAATCTAAACTAATATAAAGTTATTTAAGAAAATAATAATTCTAAACTAACTTAAAATTCTAAGTTATTAAATTAAACCTAAATTAAACTAATTATAACATACTAAATTAAACAAAATCTAAATTAACTATGCAGATACTAATTTAAATTCAAACTACATTAATAATAAATTACTAATCTAATTTTAAACTAAATTAAATCCTAAGGTTACTAATTTAATTCTAAACTAAATCAAATATAAAAAGATGTGTGAAACAAAAAATTAGGGGTTGAGGCAGCAAGGGCGCTGGGCCCAACAACTTTTTTTTTTGTCCAAAACAAAACTTCAAAAAAATAACACAAAATGGAGTTAATGAGAAACAGAAAATAAGTAAAATGAGAAAAAAATACACCCCCTGGAGTCTCGAACCCATGTCTCTTTGATTACTGCAAACGCGCCTTGCCGGCTAAACTATATTGTTTATTCATTATATCTATGATTTAATTAAAATATAAGGTAAAAAATGATAATGGGATTGGGCCAAAAGGCCCAATAGGCCGACCCGGTTGGGGAAAAAAACAAGGGAGATTTTTGGGAACCCTAAAGCGAGGAAGCATCGCTGGATTGTTGACTTGGGAGAAAAAATTTGATTTAATTATTATTATAGCATGTATTATTGATACCGTAAAAGAAAAAATCAAATATAAATCTCTCTCTCCATAAAAGCTTCACCTCTCAACCTCGTCACAACAACAAAACTCCCATCTTCAAATCGTCCTAGTTGTCTTCCTCACCCTCTTCCATAACTGAGAGATTCGGTCTCTCCCTTTGTGTTGTGTTGTTATATATTTCGGTTTTGATTTTGGTTTCAGTGTTTTTTTTAAATATTGGAAGGTTAAGATTGCAGAAGGAGCTTTTAACGCACCAGAATCTGTGGTATTTGATAAAGATGATGGTGAATGTTATGAGGCTTGATCGAGTTTAAAGGTTAAATAGGATGATGCGGTATTACTTTTGATTTGATGGCTGGGAGCGGAACAATAATGGTGGTTCCAGAGAAGGGATGATGAAGAAGTTTTACAGATGAGAGGTGAGTATATTTTTTATTTTACTGTATAATTTTTCTGGATTTTTATTTGGTTATAACAATAAAATAAAACATGCAAATACATATTTAAGGTTTTGATAAATGCATAGAAGTAATGAAGATTTACCGATCTGGATCTGCTTCTGAAAATATTGTGCTTGATTTTGTTGTGGTTGACTTCACAGCTTTTTTCTTGAAAGGGAAGTTGATTTCTATTTTCGATTTTCTTGAATAGAGTTTTTTCGATTTTTCTGAAGGGGTGTCGTTCAAGGAAAATGATGAATAGAAATATTTTTTCTTTTCTTTTTATGATGTCTGGCCTAAATTTCTTGAATGGGGATATTGATGTTGTGATTTTCGGATTTTTGTTGGTTGCTGTAAAATGTATTATGTTCTTTCTTCTTGATGTAAAAAAAATCTCTCCTTTGTTATGTGTAAACTGCTTCTCTTATAACAGTAAGAGAATGAAACTTTTGGGGGGAAAAGAATCTGGACTTGAACATTTGTGTTATGCTGTCTCACTCCTTTTTTGTTACAGTTCTGACTTGGCCTATATATATATATATATATATATATATATATATATATATATATATATATATATATATATATATATATATATATATATATATATATATATATATATATATATATATATATATATATATATATATATATATATATATATATATATATATATATATATATGCAATTTTGGGTTGTATGTTTGCAGCTATTTTTGACAGATTTTGGCCTCTTATGGACAGCCTATGGAGGGCTGCAATGCAGTCCATTTTGACAGCATTTTGGCCTCTTGTGATTGTTCTTTTTTTTTTTGTGATGTAAACTATTTTTGCAGAATTTGAAACCATGATGAACTATTGATTTTGACTTGTATTTCTCCTCATTTTGTCCTCTGTGAACCAATTAAAAATTGTGATTTGCAATGGACCAAACACGGACAAAATGTCCCCCCCCCCCCCCTTATTTCTGATTCTTCTTACCAATCCCTAATGATTAAAATATAGAGATTTCTTTGAAATTTTCCAATCTTATTCCAACATGAATTTTTCTAACTAATGCTCTTCTTTTGTTTACATGTACGAGCACATTGGATGATAGGGAGAATTGACGAAGAGTGACTTGAAACGCTTGAAGAAAGCTTGATGATGAAGAAATTCCTTTGTAGTTTAGTGCTTTGTTAGGAATTTTGTAACATTGTAAATTTGTGATTTGAGTTTTAAGATTTAGAAACTTGTAAAGTGTATATCAATTCCCTTGTAATTTTAAACAATGAATTCCAATTCACTTGTAAATTTATACAATGAAATTTTGGTGCAATTTTGCATACTTGATTCATCTTGAATTTGTTTCTACAAAACTTGAATATTCCCTTTTGATACAATTTAAATCATGAGCATAATTTGGATTCTTCTTTTACAATGCCTCTTGAGAAAAGAACGATACTTGAATCTTTGAAACATGCCTTGAATAATGCTTTGTAATTTCTTGTAGAATTGAATCATGAATTCTTGCAAACTTGAAATGGATGTCTTGAATTTGGAAATGGAATTGGTGCTGCACTTGCAATTGATTTGAAAGAAAGATTGAAGACTTGAATGAAGATGAAGATGAATGAAGTTTGATGAATTCTTTGAATTCAAAATAGTTCACATGAATGAATTCTTTTTCAACTATATCAAAATTGCGCCATAAGCATATTGATCCTTTTGAATATTCTGTAAGAATTTTAATAGAAATCCTATTTTGATCCAATAATCATTATCGTCCAAACGCGAACGATTTGAAGTACAAATAACAAACTATCCATGGACTTTCAAACTCAAACTCTTGTTTCAATGAATTATCTCAACGTAATGATCAACATCTAGAAATAACATTCTACAGTCAAGAAATTCCTATAAAATTTTAATAAATTTCATGGTCTTCCAAGCGCATTTTGACTTTGATCGTTGAAGTAATCTCATAGACAGTGTTATTTGTGATACTTTGCAAAAATAATCACTTTATTATATTGAAAATTGAAGAAGTTATGAGCCTCGAAAATTTGACAAGAGTTTCTTGTGATTAGGTCAAATTTGCAAAATGACCTTTAAAGCAATCGAATTTTCTGGTGATCTTTCGCACATAATAAAATCTTGACTTGTGAAGAGAAATTAGAGATGACGTCAAGGAGAGTCATACGCAAAAGAAACGCCCAAAAATATCGAATAACGAAGAGTTATAGTCACTTGAACTTGATGTCGCAAAAAGTCATCTTTTGGGTTAATGGAGTCATTTTCAGTCGTCTGAACCACTGACTGAGCAAACTCACGATGCGAGGCTTGAAACTTGGCACAAACTTCTTTGATAACACATGAAGGACCATAAAGACCGTTTGAAACTTTGAAAACTCATTTTCTTTTGAGAAATGCAAAACCCTAATTGCTGATTTTACTGCCTCGGAAGAGAATCTGTCTGATCGATTTCTGAGCCAACTTGAATATCCTAGAAACCCTAGGATTGTATCTTGTATGAAAAATAGGAGGGAAAATTTTGGGGTACAAAAGCTGCCCCTGTTAAATCTTCTTAAACTTGACAACCGAGATCGACGTGTTTGTCGTTCGTGGCTTGAAAGTAGAAGGTGATTGAACACTATAGTGCCCAGAAATTTTCACTTGGTGACACGCTAGTTGATTGTGTACGGAAATGGGCTTAAATATGCCATTTGGAGAAACAAAGGAGAATTGTCGGAGATGGGCTCATAGATGCCATCCAAAGGTGAATGTTGACGGAAAGTTTGAACTTGATCTTAACAGAGAACGAATCATAATAAACCGTTGAGAGATTTATCTGAACCAGTGAAATAATCTGGAGACGAATCAGAATAAACCATTGAGAGATTTATCTGAACCAGTGAAATAATCTGGAGACGAATCAGAATAAACCGTTGAAAGATTTATCTGAACGAATGAAATAATCTGGAGACGAATCAGAATAAACCATTGAGAGATTTATCTAAACCAATGAAATAATCTGGAGACGAATCAGAATAAACCGTTGAGAGATTTATCTGAACCAGTGAAATAATCTAGAGAGGAATCAGAATAAACTGTTGAGAGATTTATCTGAACCAGTGAAATAATCTGGAGACGAATCAGAATAAACCGTTGAGAGATTTATCTGAACCAGTGAAATAATCTGGAGACGAATCAGAATAAACCGTTGAGAGATTTATCTGAACCAGTGAAATAATCTGGAGACGAATCAGAATAAACCGTTGAGAGATTTATCTGAACCAATGGAATAATCTGGAGACGAATCATAATAAACCGTTGGAGATTTATCTGAACCAGTGAAAATCTGGAGACGAATCAGAATAAACCATTGAGAGATTTATCTGAACCAGTGAAATAATCTAGAGACGAATTAGAATAAATCATTGAGAGATTTATCTGAACCAGTGAAAATTTGGAGACGAATCAGAATAAACTGTTGAGAGATTTATCTGAACCAGTGAAAATCTGGAGACGAATCAGAATAAACCGTTGAGAGATTTATCTGAACCAGTGAAATAATCTGGAGACGACTCAGAATAAACCATTGAGAGATTTATCTGAACCAGCAAGAACTGGCCTTTTCTCGGAAACTGATTTGTATTTGACTTGTTGAAAATTTGTGTATGTCAGAAGTTTGTTGATGATAACTGTCTAATGACTCTTTCCTGTAAAAAGGTGAAGAGTTAATTGTATGTAATGCTATGATGTATGCGATGCATGGTGTGATGTTTGCGTCTCAAAATAAATGAGATTGCACTGTATGTACTTGAGTTGTCAATGTTATGACGTATGGATGCAAATGTATGGAATTTAAAGATTGTTTGTGTCGTAGCGTTGCTGGAAGCGGGGAAAATAAATCCCTTTTGAAGCACTGATGGGTGAGTTTCTAAGTATAAACTTTGTTGCAGAAGGGAAAAGCCAGACATTGCTTGTAGTCTTCATGATATCCTGCTGGGGAAATCTGAGAAGTTGGGCAACTTACTGGGGACATTTTGGACCGGTGGTTGGAAATTTTTGCTCTGGCAGGAGAAAGTACCTGCGGGGGTTTTATGGAATGGCTTATAGATATTATTCTATTTCTTAAAGTCATTAGTAATTGTCCTTCCGTTTTTCTTTTATTTACTTGTAACAGTAATCACGTTCAAATGCATATGCTTAAAAATAAATCATTGGACATTTTTGTAAACAGAAACACAGAAAAACAGATGGTTTTGTACTTTCAAAAGGGATATCTTTGTATTAACTTGAATAAGTATTTTTTGTACAATGAGACGAGCATTCTAGCGAGAGAATGTCGTTGTAAAAAATGAAAATTGATACATAGAAAAGATAACTATGTGAAATAATCCCATGGGGTTCCCATTCTGCTATAGTCTTCATGTCTCTGAATGTCTTATCCGCTTGTCGCCTCAGCGAAGTCGATTGGATTGATTTAGAGCCAATTGAGTTGATTGGTTGATGCTGAAGATTGTCTGCCATATGATTTAATGGGACATAGTCATACGCTTCAATCCCTAACTTTTGCTTGGACCGCCCTCTCGGGTTTTCAGTCCACCAGGATACCCCTTTTTGCCCAAGCCGCCCTTTCGGGTTTTCGACTTTCCGGGTGTACATATTTTTTTATTTTCATCCCTTATTTTTTCCCGAACCCTTTTGGTTCGCCGGGAAGCCCTTATTTCTGCCTAGGCCAGTCAACCTAGCGGGTTTTTGATCATGCGTAGTATCTTTTAACTATGTCCGTATTTACAGGGTGCGGGAGGTCGTCGCCATCCATAGTAGTCAAGATTATTGCTCCACCAGAGAAAGTGATTTTGATTACAAATGGCCCTTCATATGTAGGGGTCCATTTGCCCCTGGGATCACCTTGTGGAAAAATGATACGCTTGATTACCAAGTCACCGATCCGATATACCTGACGTTTGACCTTTTTATTAAAAGCTTTGATCATGCGTTTTTGGTACATCTAACCATGACATATAGCTGTAAGCCTCTTCTCATCAATCAAGTTTAGTTGGTCAAACCGAGTCTGGATCCAATCTTATTCATTCAAACCAGCATCCTTCATGATTCTTAGAGAGGGGATCTGGACCTCAATAGGCAAGACAGCTTTCATGCCGTATACGAGAGAAAAAGGTGTTGCCCCAGTTGATGTGCGAGTTGTGGTACGATACCCATGGAGAGTGAATGGTAGCATCTCATGCCAGTCTTTGTATGTGACTGACATTTTCTGTATGATCTTTTTAATGTTTTTGTTAGCAGCTTCTACAGCACCATTCATCTTTGGCCAGTAAGGGGAAGAATTATGATGCTGAATCTTGAATTGCTCGCACAAGGCGGTGATCATAGTGTTGCTTAGATTCTTACCATTATCAGTGAGGATTCTCTCTGGGATACCGTACCGACAGATGAGATTCTGTTTGATGAACCGAGCGACCACATTCTTAGTAACGGAAGCAAAAGAAGCTGCCTCAACCCACTTTGTAAAATAGTCGATGGCCACTAAGATGAAGTGGTGTCCATTATAGATCGTTGGCTTGATTTCCCCAATCATATTGATTACCCACATAGTAAAGGGCCAAGGAGCTGTCAAGACATTCAGAGGAACCGGAGGTACGTGTACCTTGTCAGCATAAATTTGACACTTATGACAAGTCTGAGAGTATTGGTAGCAATCTGCCTCCATGGTAGACCAATAATAGCCTGCCTGTAGGATTTTCTTTGCCATTGTATGCCCACTGGAATGGGTACCAAAAGTGCCTTCGTGTAATTCGACCATGATCCTTTCAGCCTCAGCCTTGTCTACGCACCGAAGCAATATAGAGTCATGACTGTGTTTGTACAAAATGTTGTTACTAAGGAAGAATTTAGCCGAGAACCTTCTTAGGAACTTCTTGTCATTCACCGAAGCTCCTTCTGGATATTCCTGAGACTCGAGATACCTCTTGACTTCATGAAACCAAGGTTGGTCCACTACCTCTTCAGTATTAATCTCGTGACAGAAGGATGGTTCATCCATCCGCTCAATGGTGATTTGAGGAGTCTCGTTATCCCAATTAAGTTTAAACATAGATGATATCATAGCTAATGCGTCTGCTAGCTGATTTTCTTCTCGCGGGAAATGCTCAAAGGTAATCTTCTCGAAATGC